CTTGGCTATAGATGATGGATCGTATGGTGTGTGCTGGATGGGAGCTGGAAGCATGTAGGTAACTGTATGAGTCGGTGGGTTTTCTGTAGAGGGTGGTGTCTAATTTTCCATTGTTGATTTGTACTGTGGTGTCCAGGAAATGGATCTCTCGTGTGGAATGGTCCAGGCTGAGGTTAATGGTGGGGTGTAGGTTGTTGAAATCTCTGTGGAATGTCTCCAGTGTTTCTTGGCCATGCGTCCAGATCATAAAGATGTCATCGATGTAGCGTAAGTAGAGAAGGGGTAAAAACTATGCTGCTCCCGTTCGGGCAAAAGTCTTTTTCCGGAAAACTGTTCTGGAAAAGGGCCAGTGTAGACAGCACAGTAGTGTTTTCCACAAAATAGCCCCGATCACGAAAATGATGATCGGGGCTTTTTTGCGGAAAAGCACATCTAGATTGGCCACGGACGCTTTTCCGGAAAAAGTGCATTTCCGGAAAAGTGTCCTGCCAATCTAGACACGCTTTTCCAAAAATGCTTTTAACGGAAAACTTTTCCGTTAAAAGCATTTCCGGAAAATCATGCCAGTGTAGACATAGCCCTAGGGTTTTGTTTCTACCAGTGGTGCACAGGAAAAGATTATCTCGCTAGTGATGAACACAACAAAATTTATTCTGCACACAGATGGAAAAAGTAAGATGGAACATTGCTCTTGTAGCCTTCTAGTTCAAGTGACTCTTTCTCTGTTCCCTCCAATGGGAAGTTCCATCCCTTCCCAACCCACCTATCTGCAGAGACGCTGGAGAAAACTGATTTTACCAACAATGCAGTGACTCTTATTCTACTGGGAGAGATCTCATTAGGCTGAGAGTCTTTAATGACCAACCTGTTTATAGACAGACGCCTCTGCTCCAGCCTCCTCCCCCTTGATGCAAAGTGTCCGAATGAAGAGTACGTGAAAAGCTCAAAGATTTAGGGATACAGATGGCTCCTTCAGTGAAAAGAACATAAGAACGGCCGTAGTGGGTCAGACCAAAGGTCCATCTAGCCCAGTAGCCTGTCTGCCGACAGTGGCCAGCACGAGGTGCCCCAGAGGGGGTGGACTGAAGACAATGATCAAGCGATTTGTCTCCTGCCATCCCTCTCCAGCCTCTGACAAACAGAGGCCAGGGACACCAATTCTATCCCCTGGCTGATAGCCTTTTATGGACCTAACCTCCAGGAAATTATCTAGCTTCTCTTTAAACTCTGTTATAGTCCTAGCCTTCAATGCTACCCATTAATTTCATTTGGTATCCTCTAGTTCTTCTATTATGGGAACTAATACATAACTTTTCTTTGTCCGCCCTCTCCACACCACTCATGATTTTATAGACCTCAAAGACCTATCAAAAGTGAGACAATAGGGTTTCCACCCATCTAGGTTGTGTCTGTTGAGTGCCTGTCTTGCTTCCTGGGTCTTGTTGTCTGTTGTAAGATGAATTTCTGGTTACCACCTTTGGGGATGACAAGTCCCTTGTCCCAAGATCAGGTTTACCATTGGGCTGTGAGGCTGCACCACACTTATTTGTTTAGCTTGTATATACCTCAAGATTATACATTTGCCAAAGCCAATGTAGGACAGGATACAAGCCTTTAGGTTACTTGCCTTCCTGCTGCATCTAATGCACAGCAGAATAAAATAGAGCAGGAATAGTGTGGCAGTAAATATCACAAAGGAAAACCAGCCCTCCTGCTACTGTCTAGGTATCAGGTGTAAGTTTTGAACTCTAAAATCTGACTGATATGGGGATCTGGTTCTATCTGGCAACTGCACAGCAGGGGGAAGGTATAAGGTCTTTATCCCACAATTGCCCCGGTCACCTAGGTCCATCTCATAGGCGCAGAAAGAGCTTTGGTCTCGTCCCAGCACCGGAGCAGAGGGAGCCCAGCTGTAGCAGGACAGAGGTAGAGAAGGTTCAGTGGGTGACGGGAGGCAGGAGTTAATAAAAATACGGTGAAGGGCTGGGTGATGGTGGAAGAAGTGGAGAAAGGGCCTGGCACACAATGGACCACATGATGCATGGGAAGGGGCCTTTGAGGAGACAAGTAGGACAGGACACAGCCCCTGGGGAAATCAGAAGGGAAGGTACAGGGTCTTTAAATCCAGTTGCCAGCAATTTGAAAGGTGGCAGCCCTATGAGGGTTCGTCTACATTAGCTCATTAGTTTGGACTAGGTAGGGTAATGAGGGCAAGTGGAGTTACAAATGAAGGCCGGGATTTAAATATCCTGGAATGACGAGTAACAGTAGTTCAAATTAGGATCTTTAATTCGAACTACCTACTCCATGCCGCGTGTAGCCGCGGGCACGGAGTTCAGACTAAGAGGGGTTTAAAAATGGAAGCACCCGGGAACATGCAAATGAAGCCCAGGATATTTAAATCCCATTCTTCATTTGCAACACTGCTTGCCCTCATTACCCTACCTAGCCCGAACTAACAAGCTAGTGTAGACGTACCCTGAGTTATGGAGTTGTTCAGACACTGGCTCTGCAATTTGTCCCCCTGACACAGAACAGCAACGCCAGGAAAGAGCATAACATCTGTCTGACTACAAAGGACGTGATTCAGGGAAGCGAGTCCAGCACCATGTTACCAGCCAGTGAAGCAAGGAGCTTGGACTGAGAGCCAGAGCACCAGGAGAAAACTTTAGACTATTTATGAGTAATGAGCCCGAGCAGCCGCCCCCGTATTTGTTTGGTCTTCACCCCGTAGATGATCGGATTGAGCATGGGGGGCAGCAGGAAGTGCATGTTGCCAAGGAGAACATGGACATGCAGGGGAAAATTCTTTCCGAAACGGGACATGAGGGAGTAGATGACACTTGGGATGTAAAATATTACAATAGCACAGAGGTGTGTGCCACAGGTCAAAAAGGTCTTCAGCCGGGCATCCTTTGTGGGGAGGATGAAGATGGCCCTGAGGATCAGCATGTAGGAGATGGCAATAGAAATCACATCCAGACCAACCACACAAAGCATTACAAAGAGTCCGTAGTAACTACTGACGCTGCTGTCACCGCAGGCCAGTTTCACCACGGCGATGTGCGAACAGTACGGCTCAGGGATGATGTTGGTTCTACTATGCCACTGCGCAGCAGCACGGCCAGGCCAATCTTGGCCACCACAAAGTTTGTCAGGATGGTGGAATGTCTCAGGGGATGGCAAATGGCCACGTAGCGATCCAAAGCCATGGCGGCCAATATCCCAGACTCGATCGCTGCAAACCAGTGAATGAAGTACATCTGGGTGAGGCAGGCCTCGTGGAGGCTCGGCTCCATCTTCACAACGAAGAGGATGGTGATGTTCCCTACGAGGGCTAGGGCATACATGACACAGAAGGGGATGGAGATCCAGACATGGGCTGCTTCCAGGCCCGGAATGCCCTGCAGGATGAAGGTGGGGGGGTTGGTGAAGCTGGTGGTGTTGAAATATGACATGGATGAGAGGGTGTTTCACTCGGAGGCAGAACAGTGTCTCCTACATCCACTCTGTTTCCCTGACTTTCTTCAGACGCACAGACTCTTCAGTGATGGCAACAGTACCAGCAGCTGGATGGAGAGACAATGTTAACAGGAGACACAGTATGCACAGCTGGAGGCTGTTTTCATGGTGGCAGCTAATTGCCCGCTCTTCAGACAGACACAGAAAAGACATTTCATTGTTCAGAGAAATGAACCACGATTCTCTGGCCCCACTAAGGAAGGTTCTATATTTGACGTGTCAACAGTGGCTAAACGTCATTTTGTGGGAAAGCTTAATGTGTGCTCGAGGGGAGCAGGCGTGTGGATCCTGGTTATCCCTCACTGCTACCCAGTAAGGACACCCAGAGCAGAAACTCTGTGTTGTCGGGAGTTCCCCATACACCTGTCTGCTCTAAATATGAGAATGGGAAATAAATCTGTGGCAAGATCTGTGCCAAAGGAACCTCCCGAGTAGAACACCCCTCAGGGAAAGATCTAGCCATCACCACTGGCCGGTCCATGGAAATACCTACCCATTGACACCAGAGGACAAAGCAAAGTTAATGTTCTGGTCCCCATGTGGTGGATCTGAAGGATGCAGGAGTGTAGATCCTGGTTATCCCTCATTGATACCTAATACGAATACCCAGAGCAGAGAGTCCGTGTTTTCGGGACTTCTCCTCAATTCACCTGTCTGCTCAAAATATGAAAATATGAAAAAATGAAGGAACAACCACGGGAGAGTGAATCATGGAAGGAACATAATTACACTGAACGGATTAGCTGTAATTATCTGTATATAGAGAAGTATTCTCTATAAGAATCGGCAAATAGAGCATCCCTATCTGTAATAATTTGTAAATAGAAAATTTAAAAATAAAAAACAGTGCAGATAAAATTTATGGATGACCGAAAGATTGGCCAAGCAGTATAAAGAGGTGGCTGAACTCAAAGTAGGGAGGCATAATGTTATCCTAGAAAATGGACAGTGCCTAACGGGTGAGGGAAATTCTAGATCTGTTTTGGACAAATGGGTTGAGAATTTGACACGTTAAAAGCAGCTTGGGGGAAGTGAAAGTGAAATGAAGGGATCTGTGATTCTAAGAAAAGGTAGGAGGAAAACACGCAAAATGAAGTTAGTGAAGAAATCAGACTTCAGGAAACTCAGCATGTTGATTGCTGAGATGCTATGGGAAAAAATCTATTGTCAATTTTTTAAAGAGTTTATTAAGAGCAGGAGAGCAATTTTTTCCAACGTATGAGTATATGGAAAGAGACCTCCCTGGCTTAACCCAGAGATCACAAATGAGCTAAAAATCAACAGAGTCCTACAAACCGTGTAAACTAAGTGGAATTAGAAAGGAAGAATTTAAACAAATAACACAAGTGTGCAGGGGCAAAATTAGGAAGGCAAAAACACAAAGTAAGTTGAATTTATCTAGATGCATAAAGGGCAAGAAGAAAACATTCTACAAATACAGTAGAAGCAAGCAAAAGACCAAGGACTGGCAGAAGTGCTTAATAATTTCTTTGTTGTTGTTTTTACACAGAAGTTTAGGAGTGACTGGATGCAAAAAAAAAATAATAGTGAATGCACCTGAAAAGGGAAAGAACACGTTAAAAATTATTTAGAGAAGTTAGATGTTTTCAGATCACCAGGGCCAAATAAATCCTAGATTACTCAAGGAGGTATATCTGAACGATTATGAAAAGCTATGGAAGACAGGAGAGGTTCCAGAAGCCTGGAAAAGAGCAACTATAATGCCCGTCTATAAAAAGGGCAGTAAGGCCAAGCTAGGGAATTACCGACCTGTCAGCTTAACCTTTGTGAAAGGAAAGAAAATGGAACAAATAATTAAGAATTCCATTTGAAAATATATAGGAGATAAGAAGAAGAAGAAAAGGAACAGTCAGCATGGATTGGTCAAGAATAAATCTTGACAAACTAAAGTAATGTTTTTTTCTCAGACAAGGTAACACGTATTGTAGAGAGGGGAGAAGTGTCTATATCTTTAGTAGAGTGCAAATTGTGTAGCTCGTTCCAACAGAAAGGTGCTGTCTAGATGCACCCATAATAACAGGTACTTAACAGGTACTGTCATGAGGGATGGCCAGCAGTCTGAGAACTAAGGGTGAGTCTAGACTACAGGGTTTTGTCGACAAAAGTGGACTTTTGTTGACAAAACTAAACCTGCATCTATACTACCGCTGAGTTCTGTCAACATAACGTCAACAGAACTCAGCAGTTTTGTTGACGCTGGTAAACCTCATTTTACGAGGAATAATGCCTTTTGTTGACAGAGTTCTGTCGATAGAAGGCATTATTGCATCAAAACTGTCCTTTGCATCCACACTGTTATGTCGACAAAGCAGCTTGCTTTGTCGACAGAACTGGATGTAGTCTAGACGCTCTTTGTCGACAGAAGCTTTGTCGACAGTATCTGTCGACAAAACTTCTGTCGACAAAAGCCTGTAGTCTAGACGTACCCTAAGGGATTAACTGTACCTAGCCAGATAGCAGTCAGCCAATAGATATGCAGATAGTGATTTTCAAACTGAGACAAAGGAATTTTGGGGTTTTCCCTCCTTTGTCCCTGGCCAGTTGTTCTCCAGACACTGAGGGGGACAGACAACATGTCTCTCTCCACGAAAAGACTCTTCACCATCTGTGAGTAGGATAAAGTTTCGATAAATCTGTTTTATTGTTTTATGGTTTCGGAATGGGAATCTGATGTCTGTGCATTTAAAATGGGTTTTCCTCTCCTTTGTAACTAAGTTCTTGGCCCATGGGAGTCCCCCATGAGTATATTACTTGGTGACTTTTCCATCTAGTCATTATGCTTGTAACAGGAGTATTTTGGTGATAATGAATGCTCTTTTTTTTATGAACCTGGTATTGGTTAATTTTTGTGTCCTGGTTTTACTTTAGGGCTGAGATTTCCCAAGTGATCTCTTCCCTGGTTTTCTTACTATTACTTGGGTGGTGGCAGTGGATTTTTATCCTCAAAATCTAGGTTTTTAAGATTTTGTGAGGACGTTTTTTACCAAAGCCTGGAAAGATCAGATTTTGGGGTACTTTGTGGGCCCCCACTTCTGCATTCATCGTGCCAGAATGGGGAATCAGCCTTGGCAGGTATTTAAAATGTTATTACAAGCAGGAGGGTGAAAAATTATCCTCATTCACTTCTGAGGATGGGAAAAGAAGCACTGGGCTTAAATAACAATGAGGGAGGCTTAAATTGTAAATTAGGAAAAACTAATCCTGTGAGGGTAGTTTAGCACTGGAATCAATTACCTAAGAGGTTGTGGAATTTCCATTGTTGGATCTTAGAGCAGGTTAAACAAACACCTTTTAGGGATGGTCTACATGGTGTTTTGTCCTGCCCTGAGTTCAGGATCCTGAACTTGATAACCTCTCAAGGTCCCTTCCTATTCTATGATTCTCTCCAATGGACCATTCTCACTGCAATCCCTATGCATCTATCCATAAATAATGCAAATCAGGCATTTATTTAGTCTTCCCCCACATCACATAAACAAGGGAAAATTCAATTCCACTCAGTGTCTGAAGTGTTTCCATAACCGATATTTGGCCTGTGGAACTCCTTGCCCAGGCATTATTGGATTGGGGTGCTTAGTTGAAGGGGATTCACCAATGGATTGGCCACGGCAGGTAGCATAGAATCATAGAACACTAGAACTGGAAGGGACTGCGAGAGGTCATCAAGTCCAGTCCCCTGCCCTCACGGCAGGACCAAGTACCATCTAGACCAACTCTGGTAGGTGTCTGTCCAACCTGCTCTTCAATATCTCCAGTGATGTGGAGACCAGCTTCAGTAAAAGCTGCCTGACACCTTGAAAGGGGAAACCTCAATGTCCATTGTTTGTAAATGTTCCAAACAATAAGTGTCCGGAGTGAGATTCCCCATGAGGTGTGTCTGGTTCAGCTGGAATTGTGTTTTTTTGAATTTTTCAGACATAACGGTTCAACCGACTTCTCAAATGGAACCAGGGGAAAATGTGTCATGTCTGTGGCATTCCCATGAGGCGCCCACCCATCTCCAGACTTTCCAGCAAATAAAAGTCAGGAGCCCTGAGACGTCAGCAGAAGAGGGGCAGACTCTGTGCGTTACCACACAGCTGGCTCCTCTGGTCAGTGCTCACTTCTCACTCCAAGGGGAGCCTGTGCAAATTATGGGCCAGGACCTCCGAATTTCACCTTGTGCGTTACATCTCCTAATCCCTGTCTCCCTGAAGGATGCCCTGTACCACTGCCATGCAGCCACCGCCTCAGGGTGGGAGGCCTTCACCTGAGGTGATCAGAGTGCACAGAAAAGAGGGACATTTTCTGCAGTGATACTGAGGCAAACTCATTGTCTGTGCCAAGGCCTCTGGGATATTAATAGTTAATGAAGAGCAGGAAGGACCCACACTTACTGTCTAGGCCATCATGCCCATGTAGCACTGGGTTGGCTGAGCAGGGGAGCCCCTCAGCAAGAGACGGTACCTGTGAGTGATGAGAGAAAAGGGTCTTCCCTCAGGTCGGCGCGTCCCACACCTTTCTCAGCCCAACATCTGCAGCAGCTTCCTACGCCGAGAGCCGACAGAGGCAGTGTTTATAACAGAGTGCCGGGCAGTCCCAGAAGGGTTTGCTCAGACACTAAAGGGGAATCTAAACAGACAGGAGACCAGCCTGTGTGGAGAGGGATCACGTGAGGATTACCTGTTATGTTCCTTCCCTCTGGGACATCTGGCAACCGTGTATCACCATTCCATGGGTAATTTCTCAATCCCGGTTTGTTGGCTCGGAGCCACACTCTTGAGCTGGGACACAGAGTCCTTGCTACTGACCAGGCAGGATGAGACTTCCCACCCAATATCCCAGCGCTGGGTGCTGAGGTGAATATCTGTCCCAATGGTTGTTGCATTAAGGGCCATCGTCTGTTTATCTTCCTCCAGCATCCAAGAGGATGTGC